TCACCACCAAACCGTAACACTTCTCTCTTTTGCTTTCCATTTCCCCAAGAAAGACAGGAATCAACTCCAAAGTTTATTGTCTTGAGGTTGACCAAAAGCGCATCATTTAGTGAATAAATGCTTCATGCTCTAAACTGCCCGAGTTCCTAATTTTCTCTTTTCTCATTGAGGAAAAGATACTTCTTGGAAAGAGAAGATCTTGTCTGACCGGCAGGCTTGGTGTAAACATTTAGGGAAGCTCTTGGTTTAGACCAGAAATTAATAACTTCTTTATACTCAGAGGCCACCTTTATTCTCAGTGGAGGTCTGGAGGCCACAACCCTGGCAGATAGTGCTCTGTCTAACAGAAGAACCCTGCCTGACCCAATTATGACTGAATTCCCCCACTTCTAAAACAGACACAGCCATGAACCCAACCTGCTTGGCTTGAATTCCCTAAATCCATGGCATAGCCCCGAGCAGGAACAAGGTAATGATCCCATCTGTCCTCAGAGGCACAGGTTGAACCCATGCCAGTGGAGAAGAGCTCTTCCATTGATGCCTTCCTCTTGCAGGTCAGTTCATGTCTTTGTCCATCAAGGCTGCAGTCTTGATCCCATGCCTTGGCAGAGCTGGGGGGTGAAATACCATTTGTGGTGTTGACAATACAAAGGGAAATAAATCTTCTCTAAAGAAATTTATCCTTTGGCTGGAGTTGTTCTTACAGTCAGGTTGGTGCATACAAGTCCTTGGTGAGAGGGTTAATTTCGCCTCCTAAAAATACCTTGAAGTCAACGTAGAACAGGTTGCTTGAGGACTTGTGCGGGTGAGTTTTAAATACATTCAAGGATGAAAATTCCCCCACCTTTACGTTCCTCCTCCAATGCCTGACCACCTTCATGGTGAGTTGAAAGTTCTTCCTTTCTTCCTAGGTTGCCCAAGGAAGTTGTGGCTGCTCCTCCCTGGAAGTGTTGAAGGCCAGGTTAGATGAGGCTTTGAGCAACCTGGTCTAGTGGAAGGTGTCCCTGCTGCTGGCAGGGGGTTGGAACTGGATGAGCTTTCAGGTCCCTTCCAACCCAAACTATTCTATGATTCTATGATTCTGGAGGATGAACAAACCCACTTACCCCCTCCACCTACATCCTGTACTCCAAATCTGACCATCTCGGTGGTCTACGCTGCACTTGCTCCAGTATACCAATATATATCTTGTACTGGTCAACTCAAACTGGACCCAGTAAGTGGAGAGGGTCTCAGAAATGATAAGCAGAGGAAAAACTCTCTGTCTTTGATTGGTTGTACTTGTGCTGATACAGTCCGTGACGTGGTCATCTCGCCAACCCCAGAGCTATCAACCTGTTGCAACTATGGCTGAACCACAGAAGGTTTGGAAACCTTTTAATGGGAGAATGAAGGGGGGTAAATAAAGGAATTAGTAAACAGGTTACCACTAACTACTCTTGTCTACCTGCTGCTAGTAACCACACAGGCACTACTGAGTCTTCAGGGCAGAAGGAGCAGTCTTAAAGATAGACCACCCATGGGTGGATGGGGCCAAAACTGGCTCAGAGTCCTTATATCAGCTCTTGGTAGCGGGGAGAAATGAACCCTTAATGACTAGCAAATGGAAGGTCTGAGCCTACACCTGAATGTCCCAGAGGTGCAAAAGTCAGCAGATTCCCCCTAAAGATCAGTGGGGATATGAAACAAAGACCAAAAATTGCAGGATTATGTCTAAAAATAGACAAGATAGAGAACATCGATGGCAGTGCTCTGAATAATGATAAGGGGAAGACAAAGGGGATCATATGGAGACACTCAAACATCCCCAGAATTTCCTTCTTTTCAGCCAAACCTAAACTTTGACACCTATTTTTGTTTTTCCCCCAGTTTAGACCTTTGGAAAAAAACATAAGGAAAAAAAACCCAAACCAACAAACTTTGCATTGTGCTGTACCCAAAGCTGTTTAATCACAGAAATCACACCAGCTAGACACTAATAGAGCATTTTATCCCTTGCTATATCTAGGGATGCAAAGGAAAAAGAGCTCTGCTCCTTTAAGCTAGCAGAAAGCTTCTTTATATTCAGGTGGAGTCAAGCCTTCCTGGGCTATAAAGTTGCAGGGAGAGGCTGGGGCAGCAGCTGTTTGATTTAGATCTTACCAAGCTTCCAGTCTCACCATGGTAAGAACATGCCTTGTATTTGTGTTAGTCTAAACTTAAGATATAGATTATATATATATATATATATTTTTAAGTGTACTGAGTTAAACAATTTACTTGCTCTTTTTCTCTCTCCTTTCTTTTAGGGGGGTGTGTGTGTTAATTCTAAACAGCTTTGTTTAATTGCTGATTACCTTATGGCTTATTGATTCAATGTTTGCTCCTTATAAGGGCAAAGTGAAGGACTTGGTTGGAGAAGAGCTATTTAAGTGGCCTCCTGGTGCTTTTCTTGCAGCTCTTGAGGTGGGGTCTGTAGAGTTGCAAAGTTTCTGTCTCTTTAATGCAAGTTGGGTTTTACTTTTTTTTTTTTGGGGGGGGGGGAACCAGCCTGGCTTGATAAAGAAAAATTTAAAGTTTGATACTGCTGACCCTTTTCCCTGAGTTTAACACTTCAAGTCTCACACTGCCACAGGGAATTAATGCAACTTGCAGAAACCTTTAGGGTTTTTATTATTTTTTTTTTCTTCTTTAGGAGTGAGCTGCCATGTTGTCTTTGTCTGCTCCAAACCCTTGGGATTAGATATTAAATGAATAAAGTCTCCCTTTCCTTCTAGGTTTTTTTTTTTTAATTTTTTTTTAATTGAATCTTTGCTCCAAAGAGTTTGCAGCTGTGAAACCAAAGGGGATTGATCTGGTTACTAAAAAAACTGCAGCCCTGAGCAGTGCTGGTTGATCTGAAACTTTTATATAAAGAATAATGCCACTGTCACCTTATTGTGAATGCAAAAAAAAAAAAACCCACAACTTGTTGGAAAATCTGATGGTGTCCCTTTGCATGTTGCAAATGGAAGAAAACTTCAAAGTAACTCCTAGCGAGGCAGCTTTTGAACTTTTTTCCCTTTTATCTGCTGACTTTTAGAGTCTGCCTTGGCTAGAAAACAGTTAAACATTTACATGATATTTCCAATGGGAAAATCAGCTGGACAACAATAGGCTGGTTATAGCCAGAGTCTGTAAAATACAGTTGGTCTTGATGCAAATGTTGGAGATCTGGGATCTTAAAAAAAATACTAATAATTAAAAAAAAATTAAAATGAAATTCTGGCATATTTGGGGAGGGGGAAAAACCTGCAGAAAAAAATTTACACTTTTTTCCTTCCAGCAGCCTCATTTTAAATATTTTATTTTATTTTTTTAAATTATTTTTTAAAGTTATTTTTAATTCCCATTCCCTGTTTTCTGGGCTGAAAATACCAGTGTTCCCTTGAAGCAGGTGCTGGGACTGGGAAACTGGGAGAGGACAGTGAGTGGAGCAGCTGTCCCAGCTAAGTGCTGGCAAAGCGGCTGTGGCGTTGACCCTCGCAAACAGCATCGAGAAGTTATTGCAACCATCTTGCTGGGAGGGATGGGCACATGGCAGTCAGCATTTCCCACATAGTGCAAATATCAACTTGGAGAGGGAGGACTTAAACACAGCCTCCACACCCAGAAGAACTGGCCTAGACCTGGATTAAGTAGTGTTTAACTAGCTGTGGATAAAGGGGTTGGTGTCACTTTGTGGTACCAAGATCACTCATCCAGTTGGTGTCTAGCTTTAGGGTGGATGACTTGAGCATGTGGTGGCCCTTGGACATACTTGGAGACTAAGAGGGGAGAAGTTGCATAGCATCCTTCTCCTGATGGCTACTGACACAAGTGTTTGATGCCCAGGACCATCTAACATAACTTAGAGGGTAGTGACTTCCAAGGGACAGAGTTCCTCAGGTGGGATAGTCATACCTAGGGGTGTGCACACACTTGGTGTCATAGAATCATAGGATGGTTTGGGTTGGAAGGAATCTTAAAGCTCATCCAGTTCCAACCCCCCTGCCATCAGCAGGGACACCTTCCACTAGACCAGGTTGCTCAAAGCCTCATCCAACCTGGCCAGTTGGCCAGAACTGGTCTATCAGTGGCATTTGTTATGCTCTGTTCAAGGTGGGCTACTTGGAGCAGGGGAGCTGGGCTTATCTGTGGAGACCCCCAGCTCTTGGTAGGACTTTCATGGTGATCCCTTGGGGAGCAGCACTGCCCCATGCTGTGCATGGCAGTAATTGGGAGTCTCTGCTTGGGAGCTGGGACATGAGCCTCTGTCATCGCTGCAGCACTGCTTTGATCTTGGGGTGGTGGAAACAGCAGAGATGCCAATTACTCAGGGAAGCACACAACCATCAAAAGTCCCCAGAGAGTCTCCAGAAGATGCCAGTACCTTCAATACTGCCCTGGAGTTAGAAGCTCCTGGAGGGTGACCTGGTTAAATGAGGATTCTGAGCCTTTCCCCAGGTGTCAGTCTGCCCTGGTTCTGGCCTCAGGCAACTCCTGGTTTCCTCCAGCCTCATTTCCTGCTCTGACTCCCAGCTTGGCTGTGAGTTTCCCAAGCTTGCCTTCTCCCTGCTTAGTGCAGAACTCTTTCTTTTTTTGATGAAGGAGCCTGGAACTGTTGTCCCTGATACCCCATTGCTCTGGGACCTGGGGGATTGACAGCTGCTCCACACCATGGCAGGACCAGTTGAGCATTGAGTGAGGAACCAGTGCTGCTCAGCTGCTTCCTGCCTCAGCATGAAGCCCATCACCTCCTTCCTTCCTCCTCCCTTGGGTTGGGAGAGCCTTTCCTAAAGATGATATGAGCACAGCTCAGCTGTGTCCAGCCGCTCTGCAGATCATGGTTTGATCTTTGCTCCAACTCTCAGCAGTGGGCGGAAACCGCCTGTTTCCCTAATCGTCTGCAGTAGCAAATGGCTCAAACAAGATCTGTGGGGGGATAGTGCTAAGTCACAGGATGTCTAAAAATCACCTTAACAAGCCATTTCCCTTTCCAGAGGGAGTGCATTTCCATCCACATCGGGCAGGCTGGCGTGCAGATGGGCAATGCCTGCTGGGAGCTCTACTGCCTCGAACATGGGATCCAGGCGGATGGGACCATTCCTGGCCCCAAGCAAGTGAAATCTTTGGAGCCGAAGTCTGAACAAGTGGATTCTTCTTTTGAGACCTTCTTCTGTGAGACAGCATCTGGGAAGCATGTGCCCCGAGCCGTGTTCATAGACTTGGAGCCCACTGTCATTGGTAATAGTGGGGCAGTTGGGTGTTGTGACATCTTTATCTGTGACTCCTGACCCTTCTTACTTGGAGCTTGTGTTTGCTGCTCATATTAGCCAGCAGCTCCCACTCTTATCTAGTAAAATGTCTCCAGCCATCAGAAGGAGACAGAGTTTGCATTTCCAAATGGACCTGGGAGTGACAACCTCATTACACTGACTGGTCTTTTGTTGATCCTTCCTTTTAAAAGACCTGCTGTCTTGAGCAGGATCCTCAGCAGGTGTAAAGTAGCATGAGTTTATTAACCTCAATGCTCTGAACTGAGTTACACCATCCTATGACCTGATGTGGCACATCTGGTTTTAATGCTACCTGTGAAGCATCTTTGAGTAAACAGGTGCTACACATTTCATGGTTCTGTGGAAGCAGGATGTCTTGCTACTACAAGCTTTAAACTTCCCCTTCCAGTCCCAATTCCTTTAGTGATCTCAGTGTGTTTGACTCAATTATGGCACTTTGATTTAGAGTGCCTTCCTAGAAAACAAATTCTTCTTTTGCTCAAGGAATTGGTGGAAATGACTCCCAACCACATGCATCCATCTACCTGCTTCTGCCTTCTAGGCTTCTCCTGGGTGTTTGCTCCTATCTTGCCATCTAGGATGGATGACTCATTATTTCATCTCATGAAAGGAATGTAGACTTTTGTTTTGATTCCACTTAATTTTTAGGCTCCTTATCAAGGCACTAAATTGAGAACCTAGTGAGAGAGCCAGCAGAACATGAAATGTATCCAACATTGAGATTGAGTGTGTTTAAATAACCGCTGGAGGTGTCTCCAACCTCATTGACTGCATGGAGCCTAGAGGAACTGCTCCTAATGCCTGTCTTCATAAGGTGCCCAAAGCTGGGTCTTAGACATCTACCAGAAATGTCAACACTGTGGAGTCACTCTGTCTCCTCTTTGGTGTGCTGTAGAGCAGATGATGGAGGTGGTGCTTCCAGCCACCTTAAGATGCTTTGCAACAAGCAGCAACATAAGCTGCCTGGTGATAACTATAATCCTACAATAATGATGGAAACATAACCAATGTCCTAACTCTTTAAGCCAAATTACATTAGGATCTCAAAGTGTCTGCTGGATGAAGATAGAGGAGGTATAGTAGGACCTTGACAAATTAGCCGGGACAGGATTATTCTTACCCCTTCCATTATTCCCAGTCTGAATTTACCATGCTGTGACCATCATCTCACATGGACTCCTGGCAGGTTTGCAATGTGTTTTGCATTAATGTCTAGAACCTGTAACTGTGTGGTGTTCCTCCTTGTGTAGATGAGATCAGGACTGGGACCTACCATGCACTCTTCCACCCAGAGCAACTCATCAGTGGCAAGGAAGATGCTGCCAACAACTATGCCCGTGGCCACTACACCATCGGAAAGGAGATTATAGACACTGTCCTCAGCAGAATTCGTAAAATGGTAAGAAAAAAAGAGAGTCTTTGCCTTAAAATAACACACCATGGACAATAGAATTAAACTTTGGGTTTGAAGTAAAAGTCTTAAGAGAAAAATCCCTTTGTGTGAACTCCACGGGCAGCTGCTCATTGCTTATCATGTATGTATGAAGTGACACAACACTAGACCTGAGACAGAAGAGAAGGAATTTTAATCACAGGGAAGCCACTCCCTGGTTGTGCAATTCCAGATATTATTTCTAGATGGTCAATCAGTAGCCAGGTTGGGAAGACCAAACTCCACATTTGATAGGAGTGAAGCAGGATTGTAACAACATCCTTGGATGCCTGTCAGTGAAAAGGTTTTTGAGATGTCTCCTAAGGGCCTAGGACCCACGTGCTACCTCCCATCCCCTCTTGGGTGTTGAGGTGTGCATTGAGCTGATCATGGAGACACTTGCCAAGAGTTTCCATCTGACTATGCAGAGATACCTGTGGCAGCTCCATGGGAATGCTGAAAGTGATTAACAAATGTACAATTAAGATGCTCAGTAGGGTGATATACTGAGTGAATCCACGCTAGGGATTGGGTGCGCTCTGGCCAGTAAGTGCTGTAAGCAGAGTTTATTGCAGAATCACAGAATGGTGGGGTTGGAAGGGACCTCAGGAGATCATCTAGTCCACCCCCCCTGCCAAAGCAGGTTGGTTCCCTACAACAGATTGCACAGGAAAGTGTCCAGGTGGGTTTGAACATCTCCAGAGATGGAGACTCCACACCCTCTCTGGGCAGCCTGTCCCAGGGCTCCAACACCCTCACAGGAAAGAAGTTTTTCATTAAGTTGGTATTTATTGCTGTATTATTTGGGGTAGTTATTCCAATCCTGAGCAAAGAGAGGTAAATATACATTCTTCTACCGCAGGCTGACCAGTGCAGTGGCCTCCAAGGCTTCCT